AAGATGGGAGACTATTTCAGCCAGAGTACACAGAGAAACAGGCTCAAAGTGATCAAACAGAACTGAGGAAATAGGGGGAACAGAGGGATCATAAGCTGGAGGAGTGATGTGAGACCTGATAGTAGCAACCTTATCGACAAAAAAACGTAAAAGGCTTTCACAGGTGGCTGGAGACCCTGGTAAGTGTGTGGTGGGTGGAGGGTTGATTGCAAAATTAGTGGTCTTGAATAAGACACGGGGCCCGTAGCTGTTATTAGAGATGATATCTGACAAATACTTTCTTTTTTACAGGGCTTCCCTTAACATATCAAAGGAAATCTGGAGTTTATCTTTTTTCCATTTTCTTTCAGAGTGACATTGTTTAACCCGGGATCAGTTTTAGGTCTAGCACACTAAGTTTTTTTAAAAGGAGTAACAAATCAAGCACATTTGAACAAGCAGCATTGAACAAAGTGAGCAGATGATCAGCATGTGGCTTAAGGAAGTAATTGTCCAAGGAAGGGGCACCAATATTCTGATAAACAGCAGAGAAATGTCAAGCAGTAGCAGGAGCGATAATGTGGAAATCACGCACAGGCAAAAGAGGTTTAACTGGAGGACATGGTGCCGAAATGTGGATTATAACAGGCATGTGATTAGAAAAGTTGAGCTTGCAAATTTGAATGTCACATAGCTGCAGACCACAAGATAAAACTAGATCCAAAGTATGTCCACGCTCATGGGTGAACAAGATTAAAACAGTCAATAAGATTCAGGAAGTCTTTCATAAGAGGCTTTTGGTAGCAGCAAACATGAATATTCAACGCTTCGCTAGAAGAGCAGGAATGATTTGGCCAGTGGTCTCATTCCATACAAATTCAGCTAATGATTACACTCTGCATGCTGTTTTTACATACTTTTATTAAACTTTTCAATTTTTTATCATTCAAGTTATTTATTATTGACTTTCTTGTTACAAAAAATAAAAACAAAGAAAATGTGACTCACTTAAGTCAGTTAGTACATTACAGGTCATTTATTTTAAGGAAAGTCAGAGTAGGTTAGTTTAAACGGGTAGAGAGGCGTGTAACGCTCATCGCGCCACTTAACCGGTTCCAAAGTGAGGATGATGGCTTCATGTTTCAGCATGCTGTGGACATTCACACCTGAGAGAGAAAATATGACAAACAAACTGTGTGAGTTTTACAGAAGAGATTTGTTACATATAACACTTAAAACCCTGAGCTTTTTAAGAACATTTCCCCTTCTAGAAGATGCATGCTTAAATGAAGATGAATGAAGATGAATAAAGGTTTTGTGAAAATGACTACTGAGTTCCGGTGCCGTCTCTGGATGCCCGAGGAATAAAAAGAACCGGGGTGAAACTGATTTCGCAACACAGGTCGAAGTTTTCTCTTCACGATTGAAACTGAGACTTGCTCACTACGAACACTATTAAGTTGTTCTTTCAGCTTGAGTTGTGCCATTGATCATGCAAGCTGTTAATTCTTAGAAACCTTTGATTCAGTTGTAGCTTTGGGTCTGACAGACCTCTTCCTGTCAGAGTTTGCACCACTTTCTGAGTGCCTTTTGATGTTACAGGAAACTGTACTTACTGACACCTTGACTTTCTTTGAAATTTCTCTGTAGGAAACACCTACATTTTTAAGTGTTATGATGGTCTGTCTCTCTTCCATTGTTAATTAACTTTTTCTTGTCATTTTTACAGCAACATTACTTTCTGCAGCACAATACTGTTCAACAACTTGAATCGCAATAAATAACAGGAAAATTTGTTCTAAAACTTTTGACCGGTAATGTATAAATTCATTGTTAGTATCTGTTTTTGTTTTTTGGAAGTAGAGAAGTGTTCTGTTGATTCTTGCCTGTTTTTAAGGCCAGATTGTTCCGAAACAATATAGGTGTCATCAAAACATGACATAATAGGTTTATTGAGATTCCTGCTTAAGTTTGCTGTGAGACTGTTTAGAGTTGATCTAAGTTGGCAAGAAGTTCAGTTTACACAATACAGGAAACACATCACAATAACAGGAGCTTTTTATTGTAAGGTAAAGATCAAACAGACCCTACATTTACATTAAATATCTAATAGTGTTTTACATGATGAAGATAATATGTTGGAAATATACTTTAAATTTTCTCAATGAACACACAAACACGCAAAGATGTTTTTCACACTTGAGTAACCTTGAATTGCTGCCTATATATCAGTGCTGCAGCTACAGTACTGTGCAAAGTACTGCTCCTGCTAGGAAAATACTACTTTACGGGGACAGTGATTTATTGGAAGATGTGCTAACATGGAAAAACTGTTTGTACAGTTCTAAGAAACTCGAAAGTCCGAATTTGTTATGAGCAACTTTGCTTATATATAACACTTTGCTTATTCTGACTTTCAGTGTATTGAAGAATAACATTATTCTTCAATACACATTATTCTTCTTGTAATTTCTTTAAAGTATTCTTCAGGCCTAGTTCCCCAGGCTTCCTCACGGACATTCAAAGTTCTTGTTTAGTTGCTGGCTGCCTTTTATTCCATCTCTGTCAAGATGATCCGGCACTACTTCAGTCATTTTGAGGCTGAAATGAAGCCCCAAACCATGACAGTCTCCACCTAGCATTAAAGACAGCTGTGAGCAGTCTGTTGTACCGCTTTCATCCATGCATATTACCAGTTTAGATTAGAGATAGATTAGATTAAACTTTATTAATGCCTCGGGTGGGTTCCTCCGGGAAATTCAGTTTCCAGCAGCACAGCACCGACAGAAGTTGCATGTTATAGATACAATAAATGGGAATGAGAGTACGGATATAAGCAGAAATATACCATACATACACATATACACATATATAAATACAGAATATATAATATGGATAAATAGGATTGCACATTTGAGTGAGTCTATCCAGTTGTTAAGTCTGACGTCACTAGCCGTGTCTGGGCCTAAACTCGGCTGCAGGTCTTTCATCTTTAATAAAATGATCAGCGTTCTGCTCTACCAGGTGTAACAATTGAGTTTAACATCCAGGCATCCATGAAAACGGAATT